TCCTAAACAGTGCTCACTGGTGTCTTCACTGGTTTAAATTTCAACACGCGACCTTCTCTCCTCTTGTACTTTACCATGTCTGGGTCGACAAGAAAAGCAGGATTCTGTTCTGATTTTTACATACTACCGCTCTTTTTCCAGCCACCTCTCACTTTGCTCCGAGCTCATTACGGATCGACCTTTGTTTGAACGTTTGAGGCCATCTCATGTCTGTCATACTAGCAGATAATGGTCGCCTTGCTCTTTTACCATGCGCTGTGTTCGCTGTGATCTTTAAGGACATCATTACCTTCTCCACGCATGTCAACCCAGAGTGGTGTTTTTTTAACCATTGAATTTCAGGTGGTTGTTTTGAGAATGAACTCACAGGTTTTCTCATTACATCTTCTACTCTGTCTTTTGTTTCGTCGTTTATCATTTATCCTCTGATTACTGACAGATTGCTTTTTCAGCACCCATTCATAGTTGCTGATATTGCTTTAATATCTTATCTTAAGCCACGTAATAAGCAGGTTTACTGTCAAACACTTGTGCAGCAGGAATGAACATCTGCCTTGTTCTCACACCATTACCTCCCTTAACACTTTAAATGCCTTTTTAATGTATTCAGTCATGGGTTGCCTTCAAACTTTTATCTTTGTCAACATTGTCAGATCTTCTACCTTTCTTCACATCTCAAAAGTGCAATCTCCCTGTTGGCCAATTTTTTTTTCTTTTGTCTGCAGCTTTTTATTTTATTTTTTTTCTTCTTTTTCTACAGTAAAAGCCATTTCCTCTGTTCCGTCCCTGTCTTCTCCCCATGCCTGCAGGACACTCTTTCTCATCTTGCTTTGAACTCTTTAATTTTGCACAGTAGTGTTATTTCTTTTTTACTAACATATTAATTCATTTATAGCTCCTTTGCATTTGAGCGCACCTTTATTCTTCCATTTTTCCTTCTCCTTCACTCCCCACAGCCCTTAACTTGTGACACAGATCAGACCTCACTTATACAGTGTTAGTTTAATCCCTGTCGCCCTGTCGGAGAATATTTTCTCTGGTTTCTTTTCACACTACAGCAACTTTGAGCACAGAAAGTGTTGTTCTATTCTCCTGGCTCATCATCTTTCAGAGAGTCTTCACTTTTGCCCTTTTTTCTGAATAAAAGCCTGCTGCATGTAAACACTCGTCACGATTGGATTGTGTCCATGTAATTGATACATTCAGATTATTTATTCCGAATACATTTCAATCCGATCAAAGAATTTTGCCCATGTAAACAACTAGTGATGGCAGCCACCTGTCAATGGTTGAACTCTCCACCAATCAAAGTCCAGCCTCTATTTAAATAAAACAGTTGAGCAGATATTTATTTTAATTCTGTTCCTATGTGTGAGTGAGAGAGTGAATGGTTGTTTGTCTCATTTCTCTCTATGGGTGTCCCTGTGATGGATGTGTGACCTGTCCAGGGTGTACCCTGCCCATTGCGCAGTTACGACTGAATATGGGCACTAGTGACCCCCATGACCCTGAAAGGAAGAATTGGGTAAAGATAATAGAGAGATGGCTATCACCAATGGACATTAGCTGAATCCTAAGTCASCCTTCCTCTTTCCACTTTAGTCTCACCTCTCTTTGGTATGTTCGCTCTGGGGTAGAGTTGTTGCAATAGTTCAAAGAGTAACTTACCCCAAAATTAACTTTTTTTTAGCTGATAAACTGTCTAGAATGTGTCTAAAATGTTATATAGTACTGTTTCTGTGCTAATTTAGTTGTTTTTGTGCGTATTTGTTCAAATCTGTAATATTTGATCTAAAAACGTGTTTTTGCTGCTCATATGGGTAGAGCAGTGGTACTGGAGGCTAATTTGCATATTGGTTAACGGCTCTCCATGGT